CCCCTCCATGCCCCCCAGAGCAGGACCGTGCCTTAAAGCCAGGGCAAGCCCTCATGTATCCACAGGTGATTTCTTTAGGGGCTGAGGGGTATGAATTCCAAGCTGGTTACCCCTTTGAGCTGAGTTCAGGTTGCTACAGCTCTGGGCTTTCCCCTCTGCCCACCCCCCCCTCCCTTTTTCCTTTTTTATTTTAAGGGCGTGGTATATTTTGTAAGTTTTATGTTTATCAAGAAGTTGATTGTGTAAATAAAACTGTGGCCTTGTGTGCCAAATAGCTGGGTTATGATTTCCTGGAGGAGAGCCAAGGCGGTGTGTGGGAGCATGCCAGTGTTAATATGTTCACTTTGCTCAGAAATACAGCATGTGTGAAGCACCGAGGGAGGAAGCTCTCTGAGCCCTGGCGCTAGTTAACCCTTCCCAGGGCACAATCCTGTCCGCTCCACTGCCAGGCTTTCCCCTAGCAGTAGTTCAGAAACAGTCTGTGCATTCACCAGCAGAAAGGGCTGAGGCTCTAATGGACTTGCCTGGAGCCCGTCCAAATCAACATGAGACTTCACAGGGCTTGGGATACCACCCCAATTTCCCTCTCATGTCAGGAGCCTGGTGTTTTCTTGAACTGGAGTGTGTGAAGCCTACGTTGCACAAACCTCAGAGGGGCCTCAGAGAGAGGCCAGGTCGGGCACGTGCAGCGGCGATGCCAGGGGAGAGAACAAGAGCTTAGGGTAAAGAAGAATCAGACTTGCTGACTGTAATGACTTTATTCCCTGTTTACTGCTAAGTGCTATCCAAAGCTTACCCTGTTTCTGTCCTGCAGAGACAGGCGCTATTTTTCTCTAGTGGCTACTTGAATAGCAGCCAGATCACTGAGCAGTTTGAGAATATTTTCTGCACAGGGTGGTGCTCCGGTGAGGGAATCCTCGCATCACTGAAGTCAATAGGAGGTTTGCTACCGGGCTTTGACAGCGCCAGAATTATGCTCTGGTTGTTTTTGTTGCTTTTCCCCTAGAAATAATACAGTCCCTGTTTCAGAGCAGTTCATATCTCCTTCCACGCATCTTTAGGTCATTACATTCTGAAAGCATTTAAAATGAATGAATGCAGAAAATGTTGTAACCTCTCACTTTACACCAAAAAGGAAATCATGAGTCGGCTACTTCTGCAGACAAAGCAAAAGTCCCAGGGATGCATGAAAGAACTTCATTTTACCAAACAGCAGGGAGTAGAATTAGACGTGTTATAGTAGAGTGGGGGTGGGAAGTATGTGTGCGGAGGGAATTCTTGCAACTCAGACAAAAATAGTGACTTCCATTATTTACTTACCTAAGCCGGAAACCTGCTTGCATTTCAGGCATTTATTGTAATTCCTTACATAGCTGGGGATGATAAGCCCCACTAACTAGTCATTGCATGCTGACTGAAAATGATAGTTAATGTACACTGTCTACCCAAACAACTTTCTTCTTTAACCCTTCCAATCCTGCTGAGTTTTTTGGCAGATAATATTGCTGTCGATCAGTCTCACCTCAACCCTCAGTCTTCATAAAATTCAGGTTAGCGGAACTCTTTGATCCTAGTCTAATCTATATGGGAGACTTCTCAGAGCAGTTCACACGTCTAAGATACAATGACAGTTATGGCTCAAATTTCAAAGGAATCAAAGGGAGTCATTTGGCTGACTTCCACTGAATGTCTCTGAAATTTGGATGCATAACTCTTATGTGTTCCTTGAGTATTGTGGATACTGTGGTTTGAGCCTATTAATGATCCTGAACCATAGCCTGTTGCAGGCAGTGGAATTCTTTTCTTTTGTGCTCTATTCTGTATTATCTAGGCCCAAATGCTGAGAAGAAAAAAAGGCTCTTCTCTCAGGAGGGTGTAAGGGAGAGCAGTAAGGCTGAGCAAGAAAGTCCCAATCTGAGGGGAGAGCTTAAACAAGGGGAGCTTACCTCTTCTGGCTGTGCTCAAGTGTGTATCCATGTCTTCCTTCCGACTTCCCGTCTCCCTTCAGCCCTTATGGATTTGCCCCGTGCAGGAACACGCTCAGTTGCCTTGGGCACCCTGCCCAGTGTAAGTTGTCTTCTCTGCGGCTTGCAGCGCATGTAGGCCAGTATGCCCAGTGTTCATGGACTTTGTATGGTGCACCAAGGTCTGGACCTGAGGTCATTGCGGAAATGCCTGGTGGAATTAATTTACTCATTTCATGAAAGCTTGGCGTAAGGGGGAAGAGAAAGACAGAGCTTGCAGTCAGGCTCCTGCCCAAAGCTATTTCCACAAAGATGGGTGTATCACATGACTCCCAGCAGTCTATTGTTCTGGGAATTTGGCAACCGCAAAGGTACACGATGCATATTGATGTTTGGTACCAAAGTTATATAAACGCTACTTGCGCAAGCCTAGCAGCTGATTTTACAAGACATGGGGAAAGACACATCTTTTTCCGAGGGCAGGATTTAGCCCTAACTGCGGTATCTATCCGGTCACGATAAAATAACAATACTTAACAGGCATGTAGTTCTTAGCATCATCAAAGCAATGTACAAGCAGTAACTAATTAATCCTCACAACACCCCTGTGAGGCAAGTATTACTATCTCTATTTCACAGACAGGGATGATGTGACTTTGGAAGGTCAAGTGACTTGTCCAGAGCTAAACAATCTGCAAGAGAGCTCATTAGTTCCTGGCTTGCAGCCACTGCTCAATATACTTGCCCAGCCTATTACTGTATTTTATTATGCAAATCCCCAGGGAAATTAGAAGCCCAAAGCAACCCACAGATCTGAACATGGTGTAGATCTAAACATTAGATCTAAATGCTGGATCCATTTAGTTTGAAATCACTTATGGAGGCCACACAGTAATTTCACTGGATTTTGCATGTTAAAGTTGGTTGGGGTTTGTTGAGTTAGTTCCATTGGAAGCCTGCAAGAAAAATGGAGGTTGTGAGGATATATGTTGGTGGCTGTCCAGTGTTACCATTATTTGCACAGTCTCTTCTGAGGCTAACAAATAGTGCCTTGCTGCACAGTCTATCACTGAGATCAGTAAAATGACAGAGAAAAATTCTGCCTCAGTTCAGGCAGGTACATTACAAACAGTGAATGGAGATCGGCGTGCCTAGTTCCTGGAAGAGTGTTCAGCCACAAGGTTAATGCTGGCTGAAGAGACAACCCAGGAAAACCAGCTAGTTGCAGTGAACTGGGGTCTAGTTCAGGTACAAAAAATTTTTCAGTATTGGTGAGCTTTGCTCAGAAGCTGGTGTTGTCCAGACAAACTGGCAATATTTTGATGATTCAGAAAATAAGCCAAGCCTAGTTTGGCTTGCACAACCAAAACTCTTCTGGAAATTGCCAGGGATTTTGCATATGCAAGGAAAGGAAAAGATACGCACCACGTAAGGTGAGTATCAGGGCTAGTTCTTGGCTCTATATTTCATAGACTTACAAGTGCACTGCTAGATTTCATGAGGCTGTCATCGTGTCACTGAAAGTTATTTACACCAAGTCATCCTCCAGGAACTGGGTCACAACTTTGTCTTTCTTGAGACTTGACATTGGTCTCAAGGTTTACTAGAAGCTGAAGAGATGATGCCTCTGTGGGCTGCCAAAGCCAATGTAGACTGAAGGGGAAATGGGCGCTGTGCCACTGGTCAGTGCGTGGCATGTCAGGCTATGAAGGTGATGTGATGGGACTTCCACTGCTTTGCAGCTGGAGCAATTGATGCTGGTAGCCTTTTACACTCTGTACAGGTGTAAATAACTGCCCAGAGGCAAAGCACTGCAGAATCAGGGCCAGATCTTCAGCTGGTGTCAATCAGTGCCTCAGCTTCAATGGGGCTGCATCAGTTTGCCTTAGGAAAGGGTGTAATGTGGGAAATAGAGATAAGGGAACTCATGTTCTAGCACCCTATATCCTATATAATTGCTTAAACAAGAGCACAGCCCAGAACAGGTTTGCCAGATGTAGGGTGGTGCAAAATCAATCCTGTGTTTTAAAGGTAGGTTTATACAGCAAGATGAAGGAGGACGATGGCCAGGGTGGGCTCACCCCCTGCTAACTTTGGGTGAATAACACAGGTAACAACGGTAGGGAAGACGAGGTGGTAGAGACCTCAGCAGAGAGCGTGTACACAAGGACTGACGTTGCGGTTGCTGGGCTGCGCTAAGGCCTTGCCTCCGTATCTCCTCTATTCCTGTGACCCATGGTAGCTGGAGAGAAGCCAGCACAGGTATGTCAACTGATGTAACAGTCATACCTTTGTTTTGTTGTGTAGATGAATAGATAGATAGCAAGTAGTTAATGGATGGCAGTCCCTTCCCCCCACAAACGTCAGTCCTATCACTCACCTCCTCCCCCAGCAAAACTAGGCCTCAGGGACAGAGAAAGACACAAAGATTAAAACTAACCCATTGCTTGGAACTGCTCGGCAAAAAGGGCTGATAAGAGGAGGCTGAGATCAGGAATCAGATTTCAGGGGTAACAAATGAATAACTAGAAAACGGAAGGATGCCAAAAGGGTTATCAGAAGAGAGCGGGATGGTGAGCATGTCCCAACAGCTTCTCTTTTGAAAAAAAAAAAAGAGGAAAGGTGTTTCTCTTGTTGCAGTTACAGACACAGAAAGCCGTTCAGACTGCTTTGTACCCACCAAGGTCTGGAAAGATGAAAGCGGCTTCCCAGAGCTCTGGTGGAGACTTGTGGCTTGTGATCTTGCGCCTCTCTGCTTCCCTGCGGCTCGTGGTGCATGGCAAGTGTGTCTGTGCTGGCAGAGCCACGGGTGTTATAAGCCCCACTGCTTCCCGGTCTCTCTGAGAAAAGAGCGATTCGGTGAGTAGGTAGGGCTTGTGCAGCAGTCCCTGGTTCAGGCTAGGCAATGTGGTTTTGGTTTAGGAGCTCTCCTCACAAGAGCCTCCATAAAAGCAGCCTGAAAGTAACAGCCTGTGTTCATATAGGGAAGGAGCGTTGGGAGAACCATCTCCACCAATAGAGAGGACTAGGATTAGCAGCAGGAGCTTCACAAGGGCTCTGAAAAGGTGAAGTTGGTACCTCTGCAGACCTCACAGAAAGGTTGCGGTCACTGTCTGAAAGGTCGTGTGGTTGCCTTGCCAGGACATGGGCCACTCATACAGTCTTTGCCCTGGGGAGATTATCAAGTGACAGCAGCACAGTGGGTGAGAGGCATCAGGTAGTTTTCTCCTTTTTTAGGGATTTTTTTTAACAGTTACTGTGTTTCGGCACAGTGGAGATTGCAAGGGGTTCTTTAATTTGGAGGAGGAAGGCGGAGTGCTATGGCAAAGTTGCAAACCTACTCCCGAGAGCATACGCTTAGCGGGTTTCAGCCTGTTGTTTGGGTGATCGGGACAAAGCTAAGAAAGAGGCTAAAAGTGGGCGATAAAGCCCCAGGATACTGAGGTCCTTGTCCCTCCTGTCTGGCATGGGGTGACCTGGTCTGGTTTTTGATTCTATCTTTAAAAATAAAGGTAGGCCTGAAGAAAGACAGGAGGAGAGGTCTGCATTTGAGACTTAGTTTTCCCGTTCCCCGTGGGCCTGGCCACTTGCCCACTTGGGCACATAGTAATGAACACAATGTTGTTGATAGTAATAGTTTGGGGGCTATGCGAAATCAGCAGATGAGAGCCAGGAGAACCAGTTGTGAAGGTAAGCATAGACAGCTCATCAGGTGGCTCAGCCGCCGCCATTCGGAGGCACAGGCCCTCTCTGGAGAGGCTGGGGCAGGCCCGGGGGCGCGACTGGCTGCTCCTGGTGGCTTGGGCACGCTGGAGTCCCATCAGGATAGTCAGCCTCAGGTGGATGTCCTTTCCCCACATCTGCCTTAGCAGAGAATAGTCTTGCAAAGATGATTTTTTTTTCTGTTTAAATACTAGATTTGGAGCTGCCATGGGTTCTCTGGTTTTCAGCCTTTAACGCTGCTGTGTTCAAGCTTCTCTTCACAGACACCAAGGCAAGCAGCAAGTCTTTTCCGGGACGGAGATCTGTACTTATTCACACGATTCCAGAGCTGGGATTTTAAAAGCCCTACTGGACACAATGAGACTTGGGGTAGAACTGGAAAGTTAGACAGTTTTCCTGGCAGCTACTCTAAGAGCCACTTTTAGGCCTGTTTACATGAAAAAATTACATTGATATAGTCTTTTGGTTAGGGAGTAATTCTGTTTTTTTTTTTTTTAAGCAATGTTTATAGTGGGATCAGACCTCATGTGAATGCAGTTATTCTGGTGTCAAAGTGTCTTATACCATACGACTTATTTCTCTTTCCAGTGACAGCTGTAGTGCTTTAACTATTCTGATCTACTTAAAGCTGCATAACCTTTGTATGTGGACGAGACTTCAATGCGAGAGGCAGCATCGCAGCACAGTGAGGTTGAACAGGAAGATAATTATAGACTTGCTTTCTATTGTTCTTATATAGTGCTCATGTGGATTCTTTCCACTCCAGCTGTGGCTCCCAGCCTGTCCAATCTTACTCTCCACTGGGATGTGGATCCCACAGGACGCAGGAACACATGGCATGATATGGGAGAACGGCTCACTTTCCGTTATGCCGTGACCATGGAGGGGCCAAGGCAGAGCTGTGCTTGCAGACTTTGTCTGTGCATGAAGCCAGAGATACGGTCAAATTTCCTCTTCATAGTCAGTTTTCTAGAACGAGGGAAGAGCCTAAACCCAAACTCAGATTGTTAAAGCGGCAGAATTTTAAGGATACTGGAAACCTGAACCTCCAAACATGCAGGCAGTATCTGTGCTTACGATTAATCAGATCTGTAGCAAACTCTACATTCAGCAATCATATTTCTTACTACCAGGTTTAGTCTGAGTTCTACTGGATAATGAAGCATTTGCTGATGTTGTGTGTGCTGTTTCTCTGTTAGTGAAATGAGGAAGGCTTCTACCCTTTGCTTTCTTTCTGAGCAGCTCATTATAATGTCATTTTGTTGTCACTGTAATTAATTGAGTAAATAAGAGTTTCTGGACAGCCCACATAGAAGTTTCTGGTCTCCAGCTATTGAGCACTACCAGTAAGTTCCCCCAGCACCATTTCCCTGGGAAAGAAATGCAGCGAGATTGGTTGAAAGTTTCTTTTCTAAGCTGAGAACTGAGAGGCAGAGTGCTTGCTGCCCTTGACACGCGACCAAAACAAAAGCAGCTTGGACACTGCAG